CAAACCCAAAACTTATACTCACTTTTTACACCCAATGATGTATTACTCCATTAAAATATCTAAGTAAAATCTCTCTCTCCCTCTCTCTCTCTCTCTCTCGTTTGTTCTCTAATCATCAACTAATCATTTTATTGACACATTACTAGATCTAGAAAGTGGGTCCAAAAGGTGGGCTTATATATCATTTTTCATTTTATGGGGGTGTTTGAGAACAGGGTTGGGCTAAAATAGTCCACTAAAAGACAAAATAGGCTAAAATAGTTGATAAGACAAAATATTACATCCAACCCATAATCAGTTCACTTTTTTTTTCCCCTCACAACTATCAAATCAACTTCCAAAAAACAAAAAGGCAATCAACTTTTCAAACACAACTATTTTGGAGTATCTCCAATCATTCATAAGACATTTCATCAAATTTGAGTAAAGTTTGATCTGATATGATGCACTAAAACCCTTTCATCAAATTTGGTTGGTCGACTAATCGGTCGACCATCTAGAGTAAAATTTCATCAAATTTATCCCAAAATCGGTTGTTTGGGAGGATGTCTAGGATGTCCAAGTGGACGTCAGGCTCAAAAGTTACTTACAAATTTGATGAAAGAATAAACGTTTTCTTCATTTGATGAAAAAGTAAAGCTTCCTTCATTTGATACCAAACTGATGAAATGATTGGAACACTATTTTCATCAATTTTTCATCAAATTTAAATTTGATGAAAGATCTGAAGATGATCTCTTTAATAGCCAAAAAGCCAAATAACTAACTTTCCAAACAAAGCCTATATTTACAAATCATTTTCTTACCCACCAGTCAAGAAACCACATATTCTTGTATGTTGGGTAGAACATTAACACACTAATAACTCGTCCATTAATTAAAGCAAGACTGAATATTTTATTTTTATTTTTTAATTTTTTTTAATAGAAAAAAAGATGTTCTGTGGGGATACCATAGCATTCATGGGTCTTAGTCTCGGGATAACTATTGACGGCCAAATTTAACCCAATTCAAAGAAAAGGGTCCACCACTGAAATAAGGAGAGAATGCACCAACCCCCAATATAGATGGCAGATTCACGAGCGAAATATAATACTATCAATTTCATCAAATAAATGGATCGCTAGCAATGCCTTTTAAGAATCGAACTTCACTTACCTGTGTGGAAGTCGATCACCTTATCACCTTCTATCACCACCCGGGCAGTGACTGAATGTTTATTGACCACATTAAAATTATTGACAACGGTTGCATCAAAATCTCTAGAGTCAACCCCTTTGTATTCGACTTCTCTATCTTTCCTAAGGCTATGTTTGACATGTTGTTTTGAGACTATTTTAGTTACAAAAAGATAAAATAAGTTAAAAAGGCAATAAGACAAAATGTCACATCTAAATCATAATCATTTCATTTTTTCTACCATAAAAGTCAAAAAGTTTATCCCAAATGAGACTTTTTAGCCTCAAGCTCAAATAACTAAAAAATCAAAAAATTTAAAAAATCAATTCACATCCCAAACGAAAACTGTCTTCGTTAATATCGATAAGCATTCTCATAATAATCAAGGGCCACTGTGGGCCTTTAAGTTATGTTAATATATATATATATATATATATAAATAATTATATAAATTATGATTATCGGATTGATCTAATTTTTTATGTGAATAAAATATATAAGGGTAAATTACAAATACACTCTCTGAGATTTGATTAAAATACAGATTGCCTCATATGATTTACAAAATTACAAATATTCCATTGTCAGAATTTTTTATTTAACATAATTAACTAAATAAAATAAAATTCATAATTGCTCTCTTATACAATAATAAAATTAGGTAAATTATTAATCGAAACATATTTTTAATATCATTAAAAACTGTTAATTGACTTCATAATTTATTAATAAAATGGGCGCTTTGTTATGAAATTAGAAACCTCAGGGAATAGAATGTAATTTCTAGAACCATAGGGAGTGATTCGTATTTTAATCAAATCTCAGAGAGTGTATTTATAATTTACCCAAAATATAAAATATTAGACAAAATAAACTGTTTGAATTATCAAAATGAGATCCGTGATGGACCTATAGACCCAAATAATACTGTCTAGTCTAGATTATGAACTGAAATGAATCATCCTCCTAAAAATTTCATAAAAGTAAATAAGAGATAAGTTGTCTAAATAATTTTTTATTTTATTTTAAATAAATGCCCTAAATATATCCCTAAGCATTTAAATATATAACTTAGAGTTAAGGGTAAATTATAAATACGGGGCTGCTAAATGCACCTACCTTTTTCATTTGGACTCTCACCTCTTCTAATTTTTTTTTTTAATTACAATTTTATCTTAATACCAATTTTCATTTTTGACCCTATTTTTATCTTTCCAACCCCAACCCCAACCCCAACCCCACCCCCAACCCTAACCCTAACCCTAACCCTAACCCTAACTCTAGGGGTGTAAAAATGGCCCGCGACCCTTGAGCTGTTCGAAACCCACCTGAAGCCCAGTGTGGGCCCACCTCGGTTAGGCTCGGTCAGGGCCTGGCCCGAGCCCAACCTAGACCTTAGGCCTGGGCTATCATTTTGAAACCTAACCTCACCCGTGGGCCCAGACTGCCTGATCCAGCCCATCTCAAAACTCGATCCGCGTCGAGGCCTAGTGTCATTTTTAGTAGAAAATAATAAATTTTGGTGGAAAAAATAGAAAAAATAATAAAAAAATGTTCAAGCCTAAGCCTAGACCTACGTCTGCCGGCCCGACCAAGGCTAAAATGCCCCTTGGGCTTGAGCTTAATTTTCTGGCCCATAGGCTGGCCCGACTAGGCCCAAATTTTGGCAGGAGCCAATGCGGCCTAACATGGGTTGGGCTGGGCCAAATTTACATCCCTACCTAACCCCAATCCCACCTCCACCTCTACCTTCACTACACTGCACTCCAGCTGGCAGCCTCCTCTAGTAGCCATCCTAGTGCTTCCTCACTGGCGGCCACCCTCCCACTGCCTCTTACCATTACGGCCGCTTTCCACCTCGGTCTTTGGTTCGAATATGCCCTTCTTGTCCACTCTCTCTTCTAAGAAGGCTTATCTCCTTTCATCATCGAAGAACTCACTGGCATCTTCAGCGTCGACCATAACTACTTTGTCGTCACCGCCCAAGTCTGTGACTCCCTTATCCTATTCTCCACTGACTTCCACACCCTTCCTTCTTCGACAACGCAGCGCTGAACTCCTCCTCAACGCCTCCTAACGCGTCGCCGTGGCTCGCTACATCATCGAGAACAAGCTTGATGCGAAGGGTGCTCAGCATCTTTCTCGATCCATAAAGGACTTCCCTCGCTGCCGTGGAGATCGAACTGCCCTTGCTTATGGCATTCCTCCTCATCCTCTTCCACCGCCTTTCTTCTATCATCTCTATCTCCAACTTCTCTTTCCCCGCCACGGCACCTTCACCGCCGCTGCAACTACCGTCTTTCTCCTCCAATCGTTCGAAATTTATTCCCACAGAACTCATATAACAATTCATACACATCTCAGATCTCTCTCACTCCGAAACTACTCGAAGCAGTGTCAATGATAGTGGCTGTAGATGGTGGTGTTGATGCAGCAACGGAGATGGGCTTGCAGCGGTTGTTACCAGAGTTGGTGGGGATGGAAGTAAGGTTAGGGTTGGGGTTTGGGTTTGGGTTTGGGTTTGGGTTTGGGTTTGGATTTGGGGTTAGGGGTATAGTTGGTATTAAGGTGATAGTTCAAAGAGAAAATAGAAGGGCTTCATTTTGTTGGGCAGGGGTTCAAACAAGTAGGGGGCTAGAGTAAAAAAGTGGAGGCTAGCAGCCATTTAAATATATTTTTGAAATTTTGTTTAAAATATAGATTATCTCCTCTTATTCTAAAAATTACATATTGCCCTTTTAAGTTTTTAATCGCATAATAAATTACTCATTTTATTAATGAATTATCAAATAAATTAACCATTTTTATTGATGTCAAAATTACATTTCAATTAACAATTAAAATAAGTAATTTTATTATTATATAAACGAGTAATTGGAAACTTCAAATTTTTATTAATTATATTAAATAAAAAATTCTAACAGAGTAATATTTATAATTTTTAAAATTGCACGAGATAAACTTATATTTTAAACAAATTTGGAGAAGATATTTATAATTTATCCATTTAAAATACTAAAATCTTAAGAATGTATCTATTTAATATTCTAAATATGTAAAATAAATAGAGCAAAGGATTGAGATCTCCGTCTTCACAGACCTCCACAAATTTAGGGTTGGTTTGGAATGTCCTAAAAAAGTGTACTTTTTGACTTATTGGTGGGTTTGGATTGGATTTGATGTGATGTATTAGAGAGGTGATGTGATTTAAATAAGATGATGTGACTTAAATAAGATAGTAACTTTTTGACTTTTTGACTTATTTAGTACATGCCAAACTAACCCTTAAATCACTTGAACCTCACACATATATGACGGCCTCACGCACATGGGGAGGGTAAAATCACTTTGTGGGATGAGAGGGACATTCCGGAGAGTTCCAAACTTTTTCCAAACGACAATGATACGTAACTCAAATTTTGTGGCTCAAAAGTGGCTCAAATGACCAAAACAACATCATTTTGAGTACAGAACAACATAAAAATGACCAAAACGACGTCGTTTTAATTTAAATTACGAGACTTTTTCCTTTTCCAAATAAATAATCGACAATGCTACGTAGCTCAAATTTTGTGGCTCAAAAGTGGCTCAAATGGCCAAAACGACGTCGTTTTGAGTACAGAACAACATAAAAATGGCCAAAACGACGTCGTTTTGACCATTTGAGCCACTTTTGAGCCACAAAATTTGAGCTACGAGACATTTTCCATAAATAATTGACACTAGGAAACTACGGGGAGACAATAATACGGAGCACGTACAGCACTAACACCGTATTTAAACTCAACAAAAATACTAGCTCGTCTTTGTCTGGCATGTGTCCACGCTCAGCCAAATAAGAGAGAGGGAGGGAGAGAGAGAGAGAGAGACAGAAACAGAGCTGAGCCACACCACACCGAAGCGGTGAGAGAGAGAGAGAGAGAGAGATTTGAGGCGTTTCTGGTGGAGCTCAAATGCTCCTCCAAATCTGCTGTGTTCAGTTCAGACTTCAAGAGAGTTCTTTTACGAAAAGCAATGCCTGTGGATTACAGAAATCTATGCCCCTTGTTTTGTCTTCCATCGATTTTTAACATTTAATTCTCTCTATTAAATCTCTCAACAAACACAACTCGCCGCAGATTTAGACAACATTACAAAACCCTAGACGAACCCAAAAAGCTTTCTGGTGGAGAATAAGCTACAGTACAAAATTCTCGTGAACACTTCTGCTTCGTCTTCAACAATTTCACACACACACACACACACATACATATATATATACAGAAATGTACATGCAACTATACATACATACATATATATATATGTATATATATATTCATGTTTATATAGCAACTAGAAAGCTTTCCGCCGAAGAACAGTGAGGTATCGGCGGTTTCACCAAATTTCAGGTACCGCTCTTGAATTCAACATATTTTCACTATATTTGCAAGTTAATTTTTATTGTAGTTTTGCTCTTGTTAAAGAGATTTAATCAGAAACATTTTTATTTTATTTTAATTTCTAGATTTTTGCTTTAATTTTTTTGCTCTTTTTCTGATTGAAAAAAGAGAGTCAAGAAGCGTAATGGATAATCTTCAATATTTTGTTGACTCATTTGCTGAATTTCATTGCAGTTGAATTTGAATTTCTGGAATTTTCTAGAAAGATCTCCAATGGAATTCAATTTCTCCATAGATCTACGATTCGGCTTGAAATTAGCTCTGCTTTTTGTTGTACTAGTGTAGTAGTGGAAAAGAGTTCATTCGTAGTAGCGGTTTTAGAATTGAATATCGATTTTCCCTGCATTTTCCCGAGAAAATTCGTGTACGGACAGCAGAAGTAAAGGTGTATTAGTTCTGTAATTTGAGCAATTCCTTCAAGAGATGTTGATTTGAACACCATTTATGCTGTGGAGTTAAAATAGTCTGGGTTAGGGATAATCTGAGGGGTGAATATGGCATCATCGTGGGATCATCTTGGGGAGATCGCAAATGTGGCCCAGATCACGGGCCTTGACGCCGTGAGGTTAATTGGTTTGATTGTGAAAGCCGCAAGTACGGCCCGAATGCACAAAAAGAATTGCACTCAATTTGCACAGCATCTGAAATTGATTGGTAACCTGCTTGAGCAGCTCAAAATGTCAGAGCTTAAGAAGTATCCGGAGACCCGGGAACCATTGGAGCAGCTTGAGGATGCGCTGAGGAGGTCTTACATTTTGGTTCACAGTTGCCAGGACCGGAGCTATTTCTATTTGCTCGCAATGGGATGGAACATTGTTTACCAATTCAGGAGGGCACAAAATGAGATCGACCGGTACTTGAAGATCGTCCCTTTGATCACTCTTGTTGATAATGCTCGAGTCAGGGTAATTTATAAATTGTTGCTTCTGTTTTTGTTTTCTTGTCTTTTTTTTTTTTTTTTTGGGTTCCTTAAGGGTGGGTATATAATTATCATGTTTGGGGTTTTAAATTTAAATTATTAATTATTAATTTTTTTTTTGTGTGTGTGTGTGTGTGTGAGTGTGTGTGCTGCATTTGTTAATGTATTCAAGGTTCATTAGTATAATTTTATTTGCTGGTTTTTATTGTTTGAAATCAAAGTAAAGATGTAGGTATTTGGCAGTGCAAACTTTGTTAAGAATTGCGCTATGCTTCACATGACGTGTAGCCTTTGCTGTAGCTTCGGTGGTCTATCCCAATTACCAAACTTTTTGACTACCCACCTCAATTGGCTGCCTAGATTTATCTTTTATGGAATATTGATTCCTTTAATCCTACTGGAACTACATGTGCCACTGATACTTTATAAGAGCATCTGCATCAGGCTCTTTATTATGGTTTTGGGGTTATATTAGCAAGCCAGCGTTCCAAATCAGCCTTCCATCAGGTTGGCTATTGCAAAACAAAATTTGCCATTGCTACAGTACCTCGCTTCATCAAGTGAGGTACTGTTCACAGGTTATATAATATTTTATTATTTATTCTTAAGAGTGACCGGACATCCTGTCGGTCATCCGACAGGACAACCTGCCAGACGACTGGCTCCTGTGCCTTATTTATTTTTTACGTTTTTTAAGAATATGAAATACAAACATCCTGCCGGTCGGCTGCTATACGATCATTATTATTATTTTTTGAAAAACTTCTCCTAGAAGCTGCTAGAAGTTGTTTGGGCAGGTTGCTTGCATAATCCAGCAGATCATAAAAATAAATATTTTATAAAAATAAATTTTAGAATAGAGAGTAGGATGGAGTGTGTATATACACAAAAAATACTAACTAAAATACAAAAGTAGCTTTTTAGTTATAATTTGACTCAAAATTTGTTGAGGCTAATGTGGTTGCTATGAAGTTTGTTAAAAATGGCATGTTTTGGTGTGTCATCACTGTTGTGGACTCTAGTACTTACCAAAAAAAAAAAAAAGTGTTGGGACCCTAGATTGTTGAAAGTGACAAACTTTTTTTATTGAAAGTGGAATTGGGTAGAAATTTTTGATGGTTTTTTCATTATGTGCAAAGTGGTTTTCCATACTTCTCACTTTATTGTTCCTTTTTCTAATTATTTGTAAATGTTGTTGGATGCACCTGTTTGGCATCCTTAGTGCAGCATGATAGAATGTACTCATGGCGACAACAGCTTTGAGTTGACAAATAGGCAAATGCATGATGTAGATATTGACCAAAACAAAAGATTTGAATTGGTAAGTCTTCTAAATTGAATGCCATAGATCACACATGGTCAGCTTGTCCATTATATTTGCCATTTGATGTAATGAAGATGGGTAAGTGATGAGGTCAGGCGTTTAACTATTTTCATGGTTGCCAGAGTATCAATGAGTAGAATTAAGGCACTGGCAGAAGTAGACTATATTTGGCTTTGCTGACCTGCGAAATAAGTTAATTTGACTCAGTATTGAGTTGCTGTGGAATTATTGGAGTCACATTGTGGTGCCGAAATGGTGGTTCCAAATTGGGTTAAACAGCTGCATTGCAAAGCTTGAAATGAGGTCTTTTGTTGCCGGAAAAGCATTGATTTGATGGTCATTGGTACAATCCTTTGTTTGGGCAGTGTTGATGAGTTACATAAAGTGGGCTTGACAGCTGCATCACATTTCATGCTGTGGCCCAGATAACTCTTATTATCTTCTTTTTTTTTTTTGTTTTGCATGTGTTTTTTAAAACTGCTGGGGACCTGGGCTTATGCACACTTTCTGTGGTACAAGGAAGATGTGAACTGTGAACTATTTTACTATTATCTATCTGCTGGTGTGTACACCCTCTCTATAGAAAATGGATGGAAAGAAGGGTTAAGTTTTGGAGAAAATGGATGGAACCAAGAGTTAAGTTTTGGTACTTTAGCCTTGCTGTGATATATGGTCATGCTAGCCAGCAGTGATATGTATTTGCTATTTTTTTTCCCCCTTTTCTCATGTGTTCCCCTCCATGACCACCATGGCACCATAATATTTTTTGTTCTTCACAGTGGCAATTCTTGTAAACTGCAATTTCTGGGTTCTAATATTTGCGTGGACTTCTTGAAAAAGATGGCTTATATTCATTTTTTATTTTGTTGATTCAATTGTGGATTATATTGCTATATTGTGACACACACAGTCAACTCTACTAGAGTTAGTGGCCAAAATGAAGGGAACCTGGATTTTGTTTATATATTTATTTTGGGTTAATGGAACCAGGATATAATGTACATGTTTATTTTGGGTTGATGGAACCTGAATGTCCTGTTTACTGTTAGTTGTAATTTGCTTTAGGATGTATGTTAATTTGTCAATGTAACCCTTTTCTGAGTTTTTTTAATCTTCAGTTCCCTCAAATTGGCAGGAAAAATTGGAGTATATTGAAATGGATCAGCGTGAATACACAATGGATGATGAGGACAGGAAGGTGCAAGATGTGATCCTCAGACCAGATCCCTCAAATAATGACACCATGGTCTTGAAGAAAACTCTATCTTGTTCCTACCCAAACTTGCCTTTTAATGAGGCACTTCAAAAAGAAAATGAAAAGCTTCAGTTGGAACTACAACGCTCACAAGCCAATTTGGATGTGGACCAATGCGAAGTAATTCAGCATCTGATTGACGTGACAGAGGTTGTTGCTGCAAATTCTCAGTCTGAGAAGAGTTCGCCCAGGAGAAATTCCAAAAAGATGGAGCCGAACTATTCTGATGTTAATAATGATAAGGAACATTCATATGATGAAAGCTGTGCTAACAAAAGTGCAAGTCACTCAACTTTGAGGTTTGTTTTCTCTTCTGTATAAGATGCTGAATTTAAATTCTAGTTGCTTAAAATGCACCTTCTATAGTGTCAAACGACTTGTATTGGCTCATTGCCTGTCATTGTTTGAAATCTGTGCTTATCAGAAAACAGTGTATTGACTCTTACTATGTAATTTACTATAACAAGAAGGCTTATTAACTAGAGCCTGCTCAAATTTGTGTCTCAGTTGCATGATATGGGATATTTCTGTGTAAATTCTGTGCAGAAAGACTTCTTCAGTTTCACATTGGGATGGCGAATGGCATTCAGATTTACTTGGCTGTTGTTCCGAACCTCTTTTGTGTATGTTCTATCGCAATGCTTAATATTCTGCTAAATATGCATAAAGGGGAATTGTATTTATTTGTTTTTTCACTTTTTAAATTTTTTATACAAGGTTTGTTTTTCTTCCTCGTGTACTTATTGTTCTTCTCCCCTTTCTAGGAGCTATTCAATAACTGAGTAGCAACTATGAGCTGTTTCCTTATTGCCTTTCTAGTGCAGCTTTGTTTTGCTATAATTGTGCCAAATGTTTGGTGCACATGATTGTCCTTTTTCAAGTTATTGAGGTGTTGGTCTTTATGTCCCTTAATGTAGTCTAAGCAGTTTGTCTGTACAGGTATTAAAACTTTCTTCTGCCCTTGTGGGACATTTTCAAGGATTGCTACTGTGGCGACCAACAGGCACATGTGTAAGTGGTTATCTTATTGTTCAAAATTTCTTGTCAACTTTTATTACCTTCTGACTACATCTAACTGGGATTAGAATTTGCATGCTTCTGCTAAATATGCTTGTATATCTATTGCAGTTCTTGCAGTGAATTGTTAATTTCTTGGTTTCATTCAAAACTTTGATGGTGTGGACTGTAAGAGTATTCTTCAGAATTGTGAATTTCATGTGTATGTGTCAAATGTATGTATGAGCTGCTGTATACTGTAGACTAGTTAAATGCTATTTTCATTGTCAAATATTGCCTAAGTTAAACATTGCAAGTGATGATCTTACATTAATGAGTATGAGGTGCCTGTTGCATTTGTTTGAATGAATATTATGCGAGGTAGATGGTGCATGAGCAGTGAGGCACATCTTGGCAGGGCGGAGCGAAAAAATTTCTTTTGGAGAGGTTAAACTAAAAATATGAAGATAATAGTCATATCATATGTAGTGCGGAAGGAAATTTAGGAGGGGCATTATTATACGTGATTACCTATGTACCACAAGACTTGGCATGAAATACTCTAACGCTGTGTTTGGTTGGAGGATTTGGGGAGGGATTTGGAAAGGGAAATAGAAATGGTAGGTGAAATGTGTATAAAATATACTTATATTTTACCTAGTTTCACACATCTTTTCCCTTTCTCTTTCCAAATCCCTCCCCAAATCCCCTCCCAAATCCCCCAACCAAACACACCATAAGGTTCTCATGTTTACACGTGATTACCTATATAGCCCCTGCATAACCCTCCTTGCTTCTTCCCATGCATCTTGGAGTCTATTATTTGCAATTTTTTAATTTTTTATTGTTTTAATGGAGGATGTATCACAATTGGGTTTGTGGAGTTGTACGTATAAGTGTACTAGTCTTTGAGAATCATTTTTCAGGCTACAGATGCTTCTATCTGAAAGAACTACTTCTTTTCTTCTTTTAGCTTCAATTGGCACGCTGCAATGCTTTTGAAATTTTGTTCATGATTTTGTACCATACGGAAGCTTACACAGGAACTTGTTGTCTTAATCACCAGCTTCGGCAGAAGCATGCAATGAATTAATGGCTTATTCATTGATTTTATCGTGCTGCTGCTATACTTGCTGCATCAGAAGGAAGCTTCGCAAGATGCTGAATATCAAGGTAACCCCTCTATGCTGTTGCTGCATCATAATATCTTTATGTGAACACACTCAAAAAAAAAAAGAGGAAGAAAAGTTTTCCCTATGCAGGCTGCTTGCACCTTATGTCATAATTTAGATTGAGTTAAAGGTTGCCTTTATTCTCAGTGCCAGTTTTAGATCAATGCTGTGTGCATTTAACCAAAAAACTGACATGATGACCATTTGATTAAATTCACTTGAGATCTTTCTTGAGTTCCCAATGAAATAATCATGCTAATTCAGATCGTACAAAGTCAATTTTCAATTTGTATTATATTATAGTTACAGTTTATTTATATGTGAGCCCTCAATGTCTTTTACACACAAGCCAAGTGTACATAAGGTAGGAAGTTACTAGTGGTGAAGTATAGGATTCAAGAATTCCAGACTTCTTACAGCTAGTTTTAATGTTGTTCTAATTTCCACAAATATTATATTTCTTATCATGTCTTTCTTTAGCAGGGAGGATTTGTTGATGATTTTCTCTCACATTTGATGTGTTGCTGCTGTGCCCTTGTCCAAGAATGGCGAGAAGTGGAGATCCGAGGGGCTTATGGTATGTCCTATGTATAGAGCTTTGCTTAGGTTTATTGAAAGAGAGCAGGGTCTCTTACTTGAAAAAAAGAGAGTAAGTTCTCTTATATAAACTAGTGCTGTGACCCTCAACTTTTTGACAGCTCAAAGTGCTTGGTGCTTTCAGAAGGTAGGTGATACCACTTGTGAATGCTTGTGTCCTGCATAGCCATCATACCATTTAGAAGGAGGTCGGCTTTGCCCTCACAAGATAATAACCTTGCCTTGGCACACACACTTTGTGACTCACACACTTAGCGGTTTGCCTTGACCTTCACTTGACTCTGGGTTCGGTGCTGCGACATGGGGCACCTGAGCTACCCATGCCTACTAACGAGATCACTAAGGACTAGTGAATTGATGGTTAGAACTGAGTGATCGTCTAGGTTATTCAGCTCACTTCCTCATGGGATGGCTCTACTTTGATTAGTTTTAGACATGAGAGAGAGAGAGGCCTCTACATGATGACCAAAAGTTGACCAAAGCATGTGACAGGTTGTAATGTGTATCATACCTACCCACTATGACACCTTGAAGAGTTTGTCCTACCTACTCATTGCAGCTTAATGATATACTACTCCCGAGGGTGAGCTAGCCACTATGGTCAACTCTCTTAGGCTGTGTTTGGTTCATGGATTTGGGAAAGGATTTGGAAAAGGAAAGAGAAACGGTAGGTGAAATGTGAATAAAATATATCTACATTTTACTTAGTTTCACACACCTTTTCTCTTTTCATTTCCAAATCCCTTTCTAAATCCATAAACTAAACACAACCTTGGGGGCTTCACCTTCACTGTCACTTCTTTCCACCACAAGGCTGCCTCAGGTCTCTCCCTCTCCACCACTGGTGGTCTTGCATCATCTTAGTGCCTACATGAATCCTAGATGGCCCACAGCCTGCCCACGTCACCAATGACCCACACCACTCATATTGCGTCATATGAGTGGTGTTCTTATTAGTTTTTGCCCTATTTTTCTTCGAGGCTCCTGTAGATTAATTTTTTGTCTGCCAGTATTTCGTCATTCAATGCGATGCGGTCTCTTAAAGAACACATCTGATTTGTGTTATAACTTCCAACTTGCAGGTCCTGAGAAGACAAAAACAAGTCCTCCACCGTCTCAATTCATGGAATCCTAAGTGAATAGGATGGGAGAACTTGTAGTAGCTGTTTAAAGATTCACATACAGAGATGATGGCCAGTTGTCACTATTACCTATAAGCTTTGTTGGGATTCCTCTTGGTGGCATAAGCTTACACATAAGTAAAGGAGCTCTCTCTTCTAGATTCAGAATGTGTATCATAGGAAATTTGTTCAATGATAGTTATGTATGAAAATTAACCTAAAAAACTGGCTGAGAGATGGAGCAGTGTAGTTGGGCCCAGCGGACAGGGCTTTGATGCTCCAACTCATGCGTATGGGTTCGATTCCCGGCATCCCCATCCCCCAATGATCCGACACCAACTCTTTTAACTGTTCACACCTAAATATATCCTGAAGGGTTGGTGTAAAATCAAGATGGGATTTTGCATTGTGATGAACCTATACTATTCCTCTTTCATGTAGCCCATATACATCCTTTTGCCTTTTCTTCTATGACAAACTATATTTTACCTCTTTTTTGTATGCATTTACCTGGATTGTTAGTTGTATTCATTCACATGGACGGCATATGATCATGAATATAATGAGCATGATTGAAGAAGTTGAAAAAATTGATTTTTATGTATGTTGAGGGATATTTTAGCTTTTATTTTTTGATTATTACTCCACCAAGCAAACTTTTGAAAATTTAAAGCTAAATTTAGGAGGGCACACATATAGACTATGTAACAACATCTACAACAAAGCTAGTCTAAAATAGTTATTCAAAATCTAAATATTTTCTATTTTAGCTTACCCTCCAACAAAATTATGTACTTTAACTATGTTTTGTTAAAATATTCTTTCTTCTAATCTTTTATTTATTTATTTATTTATTTAAAATATTCCAATATTTTATCAACGGTCTTTTTTTTAGTAGCCACAATTTTTAGGGTAAATTATAAATAGACTCTATAAGATTTGCTTAACATACGAATTGTTTCATAAAATTTTGAAAATTATAATTAGTCTCTTATAAAAATTTGTCATCTAATAGATTTAATAGAAAAAATAAAATTTTTAATTATCTTATATACAATAATAAAATTACCAGAACGATTAATTGAAATATATTTATGATATTATAAAAAATTATTAATTAACTTAGTAATGGATTGATGAAAGAGGTTATGTATTATGCAATTGGAAATTTGAAGGGCAGAATATAATTTTCAGAATTATTTGGGTCAATTAATAGTTTAAACAAGCCCTAGGGAGTGTATTCGTAATACGTTAGATTTCTCTTATATTCACATCTCAACATGAGAAAACTTGAAGGGTCCATGGAGTCCGCCACAGGTTCCGTTTCAATGATTTGAATCGTTTAATTTTTTAAGACTCTTAATATATATCATCAATGAAAAAATGAGATCAATATGATAATTGTAGTTATTTTATTTTATTTTAATTTTATCGTATTTATTTCTAAAAAAATATATGAACTATTTTCAAAAATATATTTTTATTCATTTTTTAAGAGACAAATATGATAAAATAAAAAAATTATAATTATCAAATCAAATGAATGATATAAATTGAGGCCTTATAAAACGAATAGTTCGAATAATCGAAGTGGTCATGAGCTGCGCAAATTCTATCGTATTAAGATGTGATGTGAAAGTGAGAAAAATTCAAACCCATTTGTAAAACACATGTGTGCCTGTTTGGTTTAAATTTTCAAAAGTTGTTTTTAAATAGGTTTTTATTTATTTATAGTAATTATTTTTTTATATTTTAATATTTTTTTGGGTACTTTTTAGATGCACACAATCATATTGCATCTAAAAAGTAAAACAAATTGGTTAAAATATTAAAAATCTCTAAAAATAAATAAAAATTTGGGTGCATTTTTGTTTGGACTTTCATTTGTTTTTAATGAATTTTTTTTTAATATTTTAGTTAATTTTTTTAGATGCATCTAAATATATTTAAAAATAAAAAAAAATTGATAAAAATATATAAAAAAAATAAAAATAAGCGAAAATTCGTTTAAAAACGTTTTCTAAAAATGTAACTGTACGAAGTCATAATCAACTTGTTTGGTTGTGTTTTTTCAAAAACACTTTTCAGAAAATTCTACTTTCTTATTTTTCGTATTTTTTTGTTTTTACTGAATTTTTTTAATATCTTAAACAATTTTTTTTTTTACTTTTTAGACATACCTAACATAAATATACCTAAAAAGTAAAAAATTTGTGAAAAAAACCTTTTAAAAATTCACTAAATATCAAAAATATAAAAAAAATACGAGAATTCAGTATATTTTTTATATTTTTATGTATTTATTAAATTTTTAAAATATTTTTTCACAATTTTTTTTACTTTTAGATACATCTAAGTAAGGTGCATCTAAAAAAGTAAAAAAAATGTTTAAAATTTAAAAAATATTCACTAAAAATAAAAAAACATGAAAACCAAAAAATTGAGTTTTCAAAAAACTTAATTCAAAAAACTTAAACCAAACATACTGAATGTTTTTCTTTTATTAAAAAAAACTATTAAAAATTCCAAATCCTAGCCTGAGGAATCCTTGGAGCATCTGTGTCAAAACAGTGGAATTTTTAGTTAAATTTTAATTAAAATTGTATTTTTTTATTTTAGTTAATCATCTTTTTAAATATATTTTCTAATAAATTATTTATTTATTTTTTTCATTTGTTGAGTCTTCTTTTCTTAATTATATACTAGCGTATGCCCATACATGAAGGTATGATGTAAATAATGTTAGAATTAAAATATAATTGTAATCCCAATACTATTTAAATTTATTTTTTAATTTGATAAAATCACAAATTTATTATAAAATTTTGGAATTCTCACAAAATTTCTTACAAAAACTTGATTTTACTTAGATAATATATAGCTACATAGATAGATGTGTCTGGCATACATACAATTTCCACGGGCACACATATAATGTTGTTTTTGCTTATATAATTGTTTAGAAATTGTATGTATGCCCATAATGTCCTAGTGTATTACAGGCATACATACATTCTATGAAAATATGTGTAAAATATATTGAACAAAAAGGAAAAAATAAACAAATAAAGAGAAAAATAAAAACGGGGAGAAAATAAAAAAATAAAAAGAAAAGAGAGAGGAAGGTGGGATCGTGGGATCATGGAAGAATGGGTGAGAAAAGAAAAAAGTAAGAGAGAGAAGCGGGAAAGTATGAAATGTATATGTAGGATATTTTTTAGGAAAATATATCTCAGCCATTGTTTTATAATTTGAACAGATCTGAGCCAGCCAAATATCCTAATAAGATAAAAATATGTTGAAGATTAAAAAATCGACCTACTTTATTAAAATATGTTGAAGATTCATACAATATCTAAATTTATAAAGTCTATCAGGTATTTAATATATCTAAAAATAATAATTAATTGTTCAAATTTATTTAATTTGTGGACAACAAAATTCATTGATTTAATTTCCACCACACACAATAAAATCTGGCTCCTAAGTCTGGGATTGTAGACTTTTCCATATAATATGAATAAAAATAAGTGAACAAAAATGAGAAAATAAAAAAAAAATAGAAAGAAAAATAAAAATGAGAGAAAATTAAAAAAAAAAACAAAAAGAAAAGAGAGAGGAAAATGGAATCATGGGATCATGGAAGGATAAGTGAGAAAAGAAAAAAGTAAGAGAGAGAAGCGGCAAAATAAAAAATGTACATGTAGGATATTTTTTAAAAAATATATCTCAGCTGTTGTTTTATAATTTGAATAGATTTAAGCCGTCGAAATGTCCTAGTAGGGCAAATGGTTATAGCGATCCTGGTTTTTCCTTCCTTATTTACTGTATTCCGGACTCGATTTTGTTGATTGTTGTTGTTGGCTGTATTTCATTTCCATTCTTTAACTCTTGGTGTTTGAGTTTAGAATTGTCTTGGGTGTGTTTCGAGCAGGTTGGTTGAGCTTCTGTCCCAACTATTGTTGCCCAGATTTTTGGTGATTCGCTCGAGCAGGTCTTCTTGCACTCGAGCAGAGTTTGCACACCTTCAGTAATTTGTCTGTCTGCAGAAGTACTGTAGATGTGTTTTTCACGCTCGAGCGGATTTTCCTTATGCTCGAGCGGGTGTTCGATGTCTGTAAAAATACTGGAAGAGTGTAATCTACGCTCGAACAGAGTTTCCTTTGCGCTCGAGCGGGTGGAGTTTTGCAGTTGTGTCTTGGCGCTCGAGCAAGTATATTTGCGCTCGAGCGGATCCAGTTTTTGTGTTTAACGCTCGAGCGTCTTATTCTCTGCTCGAGCGGGTCATACATATATCAATTAGCAGCTGGGTCATTTTAGATCACTTTTTCAACTCTCATTCTCTCTATTTGTTTCTTTTCAAAACCTATTTTGAGAGATTCTCTCACTAAATTTCACCTTCTCTCTAGGGTTTGATCTAGTTCTAGTGTGTTTCTAGCCTTGTCCCTTTGTAAAAAGTGTAGAGCTTGGCTTGGGCTATCTATCAATCCGAAAATCTTGAGATTCAGAGCACTTTCGATTTTCTTCACCTTCTCTTTTGGACTCCAAATTTGAGGTAGGGATAACTACTCATATTTATGATTTTTGACATAAACTTGTTGTCATTTTGATGTAATGTTGAAGCTAGGTAATTGTGGGTGTTAGGGTTTCAAATATGAAAAGAGGGGTTTGGGTTCTTTTGGCGAATGCATGTGTATTTGGGCCCTAAAATGAGATTGTAGTTGTTTAATGATAACATTTGGACCATTGGGTCAATATTGGAAAAAATGGGGAAAGTGCCATATTTGGGTTTTATTGGGTCATTAGTGTAATTAATGACTTTCATTGTAAAATAGTGAAATTGGGAAGTTATGAGAAAGAATGGTGGAGTTGGATTGATTAATCACTCACTTTTGAAAATATTGATAATTTATCTGTTGATGCATTTATTATCTGTTTAGAAATAATTGCTTTGGGCTATCGGTGGAGGATAGTCGTGATTGTTGTAAACACAACATGTTGATTAGGGAAAACTGAAACTAATCACATTGAATATGTCAATGAATATGACGGTTGGACTAATACATCGAATCTGTGTATTGATTGATCGTGTATATGATAATTGTTTATATACATTGTTTTGTGTGGGAGGAGATAGAAGATGTACTCCATGGTTTAGGGGAAGTTAGGGGATGGACTCCTAAACCGGATGTTATTTGGGAGGAGATAGGAGATGAACTCCATTGATACAGCAAATCTGTGTATCATTTATGAAGTATGGAAGTGTTTTAATGTGACATTGATACAACAAATATGTGTATCTATTATGAAGTATAGAAGTGTTTTGATATGAGTGGTTATCTCATTTGAAATGGAAGTATTGTTGGTATGAATTGTAATCTCATTTAAATTGTTTGGCCAGGTTCTGAGCCATATTTATAAATTGAAAATTTGTTAAGTAATGGAAAGTAAAATGAACATGAACATATTTGTCATGGGATTGAATGGTGTTGTAA